TTATTTAATGAGAGAAATTGGTTGGACCAAGCTGTACTGTTACACGTGCCGCTTTCTAAGTGGAGGATGATGGGTTGCTGTGTTTAGAGGTCCTTAACGGATTCGGGTTTGAATTAAGCGGGTAGCCGAAGATTAAGCCGCTTTTTAATCTTAACCATTGAAATAATGACGTTGTTAATTAAGAGGAAGAGTTTTCTTCTCGTTCTTGCTCCCTCTTAATCTTTTTTTTCCCCTCCAAAGTTTTTCTTAAGTTCTTCTTGGTTGTGTCATTAGTGAGCAAGGAGAAATTATTTTCTTGCCTTTTCGTCTCTTTCTTCTTCCTCTCTTTGCATTGAGAAGAGGAGGGAGAAAGAGAGGAAGAGGAGGGGCAAATTTTGGATGGGAGAAAGGTATGCGCTAATTCTGATTTTATCCAACTTTAGAAATTTAGATGTTATTAAGCACATTTTTCCTTACTTGTCTTAAGGATCAATACAACTAATTTGATTAGTCAGAATAAACTTCATCTTAGGCTTCATAATTGTATCCAATTTCTTGGGCGATGTAAAGGACCTAGCTTAATTAATTTTTCAAATGCAGCAAAGTTTTTTTCTTTTATCTAATTGTTCGTGTGCTTTATAGCTTTAAACCGATAGCTTGTTATGTTTTTTATTGCGTTATTTCTTCTACTCATGTTTTCTTATTGAAGTTTTTCCTTTTGAAATAATCTGAACTGAGAGCAGACAGATATCAATATTAATGATTTCATCAAAGATATTGAAATGAATAGGATACAAAATACACAAGTTATATACCTTGTTTGGTTCATCACTTTGCCCCAAAGACAAGCAACAAGTAAATAAGCAAATGTAGATTATAAATCTTCCACATAATCTCTTCTCCTTTCCTATGCTGAAGCACCTAGTAGAAGTCAGTCAAAAATTTTCTTTCAACTAGGCCACAAACTTTGGACGATATTAAAAAAAAACAACTTTGGACAATTTTTAGATAACCCTGATAACTTTCACATTAGAAAACCCCCTAAAATTATTGGTTATCAGAAAATCCCTTTTAACTTTAAGATTTTATTAGAAAAACTCCTAATATTTTAAAATATAATTAACATACCTTATGATCTCCCCTAAATTGCACTAACCCCTCACTCATTTTTGGGAGCACTTATATTTTTGAAGTTTCTCAAATTTACGTTTTAATACTTTCTATTTGGCGAAAGTGAGAATTTTGCTCAGATTTTCCCCTTGTTATTATGCTCACAAACTAATTTGACAACCCTTAGATTCTATTTTGAAATATAGTTTGTGTAAGTTTAAAATATAATTAAGATATGTTTGATACTAAATTCAACAAATATTAATGTATAATTTTTTTTTCATATTTGCATTACATAAGATATTAAAGTGTGACTTTTCGAAACTTCAAGGTGTACAAGTGCCCCCCGAAACAAGAGAAGATACATAAGTGCAAATTAGGTAAGCTATAAGGTATTTAATTGCTAATTTGCCAAATAAGAACCCAAAAGGTTCGCTACGAAAGGACGAAAGGTTCAAGGACTCTAGACCAAGAACCACCGTCATTTAAAACGACAAAGTCAAATATTAATTAACAACTTTTAATAGATTTATTTTCAAACCATATGGTCATTGACGAGGCCCACATCATCGTAACATCACGTATAACACGCGTGAGTTGCGTCGTTAGAATCATTGCCCATGTAGAAAATGTTTTATGGCCCAATTTATAGAAACTTCTTATGGTTAGGGACCTGCATAAGCTTTGGTTCAGTCCCTTTCTAATGAAAATTTCTTCACCAACACCCTTCCAGGAATCTCTCGGTCCTTGTGTTCGATTTATTTGCAAAATTTATATTCACACCACACCCACACACCCTCCCTCTTAAATTATCGATATTTACAAATTTACCCTTCAAAGTTAAATATTGCTAATTACTTTATTTCTTCCATATTGAGCTAGTATATCCGCAAAGTTTATGTTTTTTTGTTTCGAACCGCGCAAAGGGGGAAAAAAAATCAGCCAAAACAAAAAAGTATGCGCGTGTTGAAAATATTCCTCAACATAACTTTTTGGCAATTTAAACTTGATGTGCTGGAATTGACGTGGTTTATTTGGGATTTGCAAATATGGGTGACTTGGGCGCATATATGTAAAAACCCTTATTTATTTATTTATTTATTTTGAGAGGGAGTTGAAGTTTAGTCGTCTTGAAAATGATAGCCACCACATGTTCACACCAAAAAGGAAAAAGACAAAGCATGGAGAGATTCATGCTGCCAACACGCCATGACATCCACTAGAACGATAGAGATGCTTTTTTATTTTAAATTTCAAAACAATTTCATGGAGAAAAAGTTTTTATTTGTATATCCTTCCAAATGTGACTTTTAGAGATTTGAAGATTTTCTATTATAGACCTCTTGGAGTTATAATTTGTGCATTCATATTCTTGAAACTAGAAAACATCCAGTGTATATTCTATCAGAACATCCATACATCATACAAAGTATTTGATCTATACTGTTTATGAGTGGTTGCGGGGTCAAATTGGGGGAGTTCTTATACTATATTGCAAACCGTGTATCATTTACTTTAAGGGGGTGTTTGGTTACATTTCTATAAATTATAGGAAATGTTTTCCATCCCAAATTTGATTTCCTTGTATTTCTTAAAAAAATTATAGGAAAAGTTTTGAGAAGTTAAAAAGTACAAATTTTCTTATTTTTTGTATTGTGCTTGTTTGGTTCAAAACAAAAAAATGAGAAATAACTTTTGGAAAAGTAGCAACATTTCCTATAATTTATAGAAATGTAACCAAACACCACAAACTTTATAGAAAAGTGAGAACTTTGTAGAAAAGAGTTAATGAGTTTTATTATTTAAATAATGAATGCGTCAGATTTCCAAGAGATTTCCTCCTATTTTAGAAGGAAATCAATTTCCATAAAATTTGGTACTTTTGGGCACTTTACAGAAAACATTTCTGTAAATTTTTTTGGAGCCAAACACAGTTTATAGAAATGTATAAAAAACTCTTAATTACATAAATGTCATGCGTCAGTACTTTTGAGAAAACATCTCAAAAACAATGCAACCAAACACCCCCTAAGACTATCAATCAGGAAATCTTTCCAATACTTGCAAAAATTAACAGAAACATCTTCAAACTTAAGAAAAAAAAATCAGCTTAAACGCTCTCACTCTTGAATTAACGGAAATATTCTCAATCTCAGAAAACTCAAACTTCGAAATCAAAAATTTTTAGTAAGCCATCCGCTCTATACACAATTCAGCTGACGATAGACGTGCAAGAGTCGAACTACGCCATGAGAAAAATATTGTTTGCTGGGGGGGTATCTGCAAAGGATCCAAAAAAAAACACCTATTTCCCTTTCCAAGTTCCAAAATTACTGGAATCACAGGAAAAAAAAATGTTATTTAATAGAATCAACGGCGGTGCGTGAGCATATTCGGTAGAATATGCCCCAGGATAACTGACGCTTATCCTACGCTACCACAAATCCTATTCCAATTCTAATTCCAATTCCGATTCCCATATATTTTAGGAAGCGGGCACGCGACTCCAAAACCCTAAAAGAAAATCGCAACATTTAATTTGAATAGCATTAATTCTTCAATTTATAAAGGGACTCCCACAAGAAGGGAAATTGCCATCAAGCTCGCTTCTTTCTTCGCCATTGAAGGTGAGTTGAATATCCGTGAAGTAGGATCTTCTACTTTTTTTTCCTTATTTAATTTTTGGATTTTTTGGGTAGTTTTAGTGCTTTTGCTTTCAATTTCAATATTTCTGGGTAAAATTAGAGAGTTTTACTTAACACAAAAAGAAATTAGGGAAAATTTTTCATCAAGCTCACTCCTTTAATCGCCATTGCAGGTTATTTCGTTCACATTGAAATTAGAAATTTTTTTTTGCGCGAGGGATTTAGGGAGTTACCGTGTCAAAAAGGGATTTTGTGTTCAATTTCCGTTTGCATTAAAATTTTTAGTGCTTTTGCTTTCAAGTTTTCGTCTTTTTGGGTAAAATTTGAGAATTTTATCAAGATATTTTTTGTCATGTTATACCCTCATTTCTTTCTTAAATTTATATTTATAATAATTTACAAGAAGGGAAACTTTCATCAAACTGGAGCTGTTTCTTGGCCATTAAGGGCTTCTCTTTGTGCGATTATTGAGTTTGTGAATTACATGTCTAAAAGAGTTTTCGCGCTCGATTTCCTTTTTATATTAGAATATTTAGCTCCTTTGCTTCCAAGTTTCTTTGTTTTTGGGGCAAAATTAGTGAATTTTATTTGAAAGCGCCATCAATCCACCGTCGCGTTGACGCAATTTAATGGTCAGAAAAGGATAGCTTGTATGAAGAGGGCAATTTAGACTTTTATTGGTTTGTTATTACTATTAAATTCAATTTTCTCTAATTATTTCTTTTACAGAATCGAAGTCAATTAGAGAAGAAGAAAGGGATTGAGTCTCCTATGCTCTTGGGCTGCTGTCAGTCTCCTTTGACAGCCGGCCCCCTTTCTTCCCATTTTCTTGGTATGCTCGAAGTTACGATTTTGCCCCAGTTGATTGAATTGAATTTGTCCATATACATAGTTTAACTTTCATTCTCTTTTTTTATATAGGCACATAATTCTCTAGGAATACAGACATTCTGCAATGGCTTCCTTTTCAAGCAATCTCCACCGTCCGCTCTCTGCTATGGCCGCGCGTTGCAGGTGGCTGCAGCATCAACAGACATCCCCGACCGATTTCAAATTCCTAAGGTCTCTGAATCCATTTCCATATCAAAACCCGAGACCTCAGAGCCGCCAATTTCTCGAGTTTCAATCTCTAACCTATCTTTCATGAAGAATCTCAGTAACCCGCTTCCAATTTCTCACAAACCTGATTCAGTGTTCAGCTCTCCACCTGCCCTTCTCTCCCTTTACCAATATGCTAAGCTTGGAAAACCATCAAAGGATCAAGAATTTAGAGCAAAACCCTCGAATGCTGATGTTAGCTATCGTTGGCATCTTCCCGACCCAAATGCGGATAACGGGATGGGGAAATGCTCGTTGGCGAAATCTCAAACGGTGGTTGTATTGCTTGGTTGGTTGGGGGCTAAGCAAAGGCATTTGAGGAGGTATGCCGAGTGGTATACGTCTAGAGGCTTCCATGTTGTGACATTTACTTTGCCGATGGCGGATGTTGTTAAGTTTAGGGTTGGAGGGAAGGTGGAGGAGAGCATTGAATTGCTCGCAAATCATTTGGCTGGTTGGGTAGCGGAGGAGAGTGGGAAGAAATTGGTTTTCCATACTTTCAGCAATACGGGGTGGCTAACGTAAGATAATAGCTCGTTGTTCTGATTTTGGGGATAAAGATTTTGTGTTTGTGTTGTGAGCTTATGGTGTTATTTGTGTTGTAGGTATGGAGTTTTGCTTGAGAAGTTCAGGAATCAGGACCCTTTGGTGATGGGGAAAATCAAGGGATGTATTGTGGACTCTGCCCCTGTTGCTTCTCCTGATCCTCAGGTTAGAATGCATTTGCTTGCAGAAGTCCGTTTATTTTTATGGTTTGCTTGTAAATATAAACTGAACTCGTACGTCAGCAATTACATTTATGCACCATCTTCCATTGGTTAGTATGGCCATCAGCGATTTCTTCATAGATATTTTTCACTATGGAAAAATGTTGATTTCTACAAGCATTTTTCTTTCAGTTTATGTTGGAAGTACTATTTGTTATAGTTAGAGCTCATCCCTCCATATTTCAGGTCTGGGCTTCAGGTTTCTCTGCTGCATTTTTAAAGAAGCAGAGTGTGGCAACTAGAGGGGTGCTGAGCTCCAATAGTTCAGAGATGGGCGCATTGCTTGCAACTAAGCCAAGTGAGGAGCGAAAACCGGCAGTTGCAGAAGTTGCATTGTTGGCAGTTTTGGTGAAGTTCTTTGAGGTGGTTCTGAACCTTCCTTCTATCAACAGGTAATGACAACTTCATTTTTGATAATTTCCCATAGATAAATTGGTCATTTTGAGTTATAATGTTTATTTTTATCGCTTATTCCATGTCTATAGTTTGTTTTCTTATAGCTAGTTTAGGTGTAGAATTCAAAGACTGTCAAGTTTTGAACTATTAAGTTTTAAGCATGTACTTATCTGCGAATTCACCAATTTTTAGTCCATGTAGGGTTAAATTCAAGATACATTATACAAGGACTCGTGTCGCTCATTAGTTGATTCCAGTGTTGGCAATTTTATTCTTTAGGAACTATATGCAGCTTATATCTACTTAGTTTGTTGCTTATACAGTTATACTTCATGCACGCGAATAAATACATTAGTTGAGTGTGTAAAGTAGTAGTAGAAATTAAACAGTTTCAAGCTTGGCATGGTTAAGCTTTGTTATTCTTATGGTATCTAGAAATAAAGCCATATCGATCAACAAAATACTTTTGAGCTTGGGCACCTCTTAAGTCTTGATGTTTTGTTATCCTGATGTAAGTTTTAAATATACAGCGTGCAAAATTTCCTTTGGTCCGCAATTCTGTAAACTTAACTCTTCATTCTTAACAGGAGGCTCCATGATGTATTTGCCCTATTATCATCAGAGCAACCCAAATGTCCACAGTTGTACATCTACAGTTCTGCTGATAGAGTTATACCAGCAAAATCGGTGGAATCTTTCATAGAGAGTCAACGGAGCGCCGGACATGAAGTTAGGGCTTGCGACTTTCTAAATTCACCTCATGTTGATCATTTCCGAAGCCACCCGGGCCTTTATACTTCTCAGCTCACAAATTTCCTGGAGGATTATGTACTTATTTGTTGCAAAGATTCATAGAACAACTCCTTGAATACATGTACATTTTTTCACATTAGTCTCCATTTTTCCCCTGGCTGTAAATTTGCTGGGGAGATAGTGTAAAGAGTTCATATATACATGCATAAAGGAATAAAAGAGAGAATTATACCAATTTGCCATTCTATTGTCTTTTTCATTATTTTGTGGGCTGTTATACCTTGACAAGGTATCTTATTACTCACCTTTCATTGTATTTGGTATACCACGACTGTAAATGCAGCAAATGTTGAGGTACAAAAGCTTAGTTGTTTATTTGTTGTAGGAAATTTATTTTCCAGTGCAAATCAAGTTTTGCATCTCTTATTTTAAAATAATTTATATTTTATGAGTTGTGCCCCCTATCTTGATGTTGAAGCATACTTATCTAAGTATTTGATGCAAGGAATTTGTTGCTGTTGCTTTTGCTTTAAAATGTAAACCCCATTTCCATTTTTTATTATAATGTTACTGATTAAACATCACCGAAACATCCAGACACTCAAGAAGAAAAAGTAAAAAACAAACATCATTGGAATTAGGAATTTTTCTGCACCATTTGGCGATGCATTTTTATCTCTCGTCAACCAAGCATGAGCTAGATTGTCAAGAGTAATCTCTCAAACTGATCATGCTTGAAGAATTATACATAAAAACCATGGCATAACTTTCCGAGTTTCAATGATATTAGGCCCCTGGTTTGCTTCAAATTGATGACAGATAATAATTAGCTGGCTGCTTATGGTCTAACTCTGCAGTAGGTTCGTAGTTTGAATGTTAAACATTGGCAAACATCACTTAAAAAAAAAAAGAAAAAAGGAAAAAGGAAATAAGGGTAAATTGTTCACGTTACATTTGTGATCCCATCTTACAATATGGACCTACTTTTTATGTAACTTAAAACATTTAGGGACTTATTATAAATCCATCTTTTGAAAGAAATATTTGAAAATAAACATGATTTATGGGGATCTTGCCAGAAAAACCTCAAATAAATAATCTGTGCAAGTTTTTCACTAAGACGGATTTGTTCACGTCACATTTGTGATCCCATTTTACAATCTGGAGTCGCAAGACATCGCCCTTTCTCTTTTTTCCTTGTCCGTCCTTATTTTGCCAATATTATGTTGATATTGGGCAGCAAGCTTCTTGAGTCACTAAATTCGTCAGGCTGAGTAGTTGTCAGTGTGAACGCAGTTGTTACTTGTTAGTTTACGCGTGGGAGGCAAACTCACGTGGGCCTTGGTTTTTTGTTCTTTGAACTCAAGTCGGCCCACCCAATTCTTAAGCTGCTATATAAATACCTATGCTAGGTATTTTTCGGTGATTTTGAGCAGGAGGTTGATTTGCTGGTGTGTTTTGCGGCTGGGAAAAGCAAAGGATCGGTGCAAGGCAGTTTGTTTTTTTCTCTTTTGCGGCTGCGGCAGAGAAGCTGTGCAGGAGATTTTTGGTTGCGGCTACGGGTCCTTTGTTTGAAGAAAAAGTGTTTTTTAAGCAGTCCCTTTTAGGGTTTTGTGCAACCTTTTGTAGATAGATATTGTGAGGGACTTGAGAATTTGTTTGAGGGTTTAGTTTGTGAGTGATTGTAAACCCTAGTTGTATTCTCTCCCTCTATTAGCAGATCTTCCCCCTCCTTGCCCCGTGGACGTAGGCAATTTGCCGAATCACGTAAAAATTGGTTGTCTCGTTATTTGTGTGATTTGTAATAGCTTTTAGGATCCCTCGACTGGTCAGTCCTAGAACTGATGAGAGGAAGAGCCGATATCTTACTTTGTTGAGATATTCGCTTCAGATTCTTGTTTCCTTGGTGAGACAAGAATTCTTATTGCGACCTGACTCTCTTGTTGTGCTGCCGAAGTGCTGCCGAAATTTCCGCTGCGCGCAACAGTCAGCTGACTGCACTTGATCATGTTTCTTGATGATTAGAAGTTACATATATGTTTCCTAAAACCTACTCAATTTTATTTTGTATAAGATAGAGATGCTCACGGCATGTACACGATCTTGTTTCGTCTTTACGATAATTCTCTACCCTTTCCTAAATCCCATATGCCTACTTTCTTTTGAGAACATTCTCGGTTTGACACAATAGCAGACAACTTTTCATAAGGTTATGACAACTCGAAACCCAGTGATGCATTCAGAGGAATATACAGTGGTTCTCTGAATCAGCATTACAAGCTTCAGAGTGACCTTCAGCTCCTTTACAACAAAGGAACTTCAAAGCCTGTATGCTAGATAGAAGTCAATTTATAATGTCTATATGACCTCTTTTGATGTTTTCTAGCATTATCAGCCGTATGTCACGTTTCAGTGTGGGAAAATGATCTTAGACATCCAAAGTTGGGTGTGCGACACCTGTACAATTGAATGTATTATACTTCTTGCTCCTCTATTAACATACCAAATCATCTAAAGTAATGGTGTTGTCTTTCTCACTGTTGGATAGCAGGTTCCTAATCTGTTTTGGTAACAGGTTATTAGGATTCCTAATCTATTTTAGTAACATGATTTGGTAACATGTTATTAGGATTCCTAATTTGTTTTGTTTTTGGTTTTATAATTCCTAGTCTGTTTTGGTTTAGGTTTTCTATATATATGGAACGCCTTAGAAGAGATTAGGATCAAATCAAAAAGATGAGAGTTGTAATCAGAGATTAGAGAGACTTTTGAGTATTGTGAGAGGGAGATATTGTGAGCAAGTTGAGAGATTTGGTTGATGGTTAGTTTGTGAGTTTTGTGAGATTGTAACCCTTTGTACTCTCATTGATTTAGTGGAAACTCCTCATCCTCTCCCCGCGGACATGGGCAAATTGCCGAACCATGTATATCTCTGTGTTTGTGATTGATCTGTCGTATTTTAGTTTTCGATTGTGCTCGTGTGAGGTTGGTTCTCTTCTTCCGTGATCACAGATTCGTTCGGTGTGCGAGCAACCTTCCACATAAGAGCGCGACAATTGGTATCAGAGCTCAGATTTCAGATCTATGTTTTTGGCATTAGATGGAGGAAGATTCGTCGTGGAAGCTTGGTTCTTGGAGTTCTAGGCTTCGGTGGAGATAGGATTTGAAGTTGCCGTTGGAGATCTCGCTTTCTTCGTGTGGTTAGGAGTTCTATTTGGAATCTAATCTAGGGTTCAGTTGGGTAATTTCTTATTCATTTCAAAGTTTGAATCTTTCTTTGTAATTTGGAGTTTACGAGTATGGGTGAAGAAGTTGATAAATGCAGCAAGATGACGAGTACAATCCAAGTTGGTTTTTAGAACACCCAAATTAGTGTGGTGAAGTATGACAGCAAGATCAACTTTGGTTTGTGGATGAGCGATGTTTAAGATGCGCTCAATGCTCAGAATTTAGAGGAGATCATCATGGTCCAAGAGAGACCACCAAAATATGAAGAGGCGATATGAGAAAAGATAAATAGGAACATTTGTGGAGTGATCAGATCCTGTTTGGAATAGGAATTGAAGTATGATTGGGGTGACGTCTGCAATGAAAATGTGAGAAATTCTTAATAATAAGTACCTTACGAAGAGTGTTGAGAACCGTCTGCACTTGCTGCGAAGATTGTTCAAATTTCAGATATCCCGAGGCACCTCATTAGCGGCTCATGTGAACAACTACACTAAGTTGTTGTCGGACTTGGCGAATGTTGATGAGAATATATCGAATGAGTACAAGATGATTATTTTGTTAGGCTCCTAACCGGATGAGGAGTATGATAACTTCGTGCTCACTTTGTTGAATGGGAGGTCTTCTATCAGCTATAGTGAAGTTACTAATGCTTTGACAAGCTATGATTTGAGGAGGAAGGATAAAGAGACTTCCCGCGCTAGTACTTCAGGAGAGACATTATCGATGAGAGGTAGAAACCCATATCCAAAAGGTGGTAATAGAGGAAGTCAAAGTCAAGAGGTCGTCACCAGTTAGGAAAGAACCAATGTGCATTCTGCAAGGAGCAGAGACATTAGAAGAAAGATTGTCCAAAGATCAAGGAGAAGGAGATAGCAAGAAGGGTCCGAAGGCCAATGAGGTGAATATTGCGAAAGGCGATGATTCCGATGATTCGAGCTTTTCTCTATTGATTACCCCGAATGTGAACCACTTGGATGCATCAGATTGGATGCTTGATTCTGACGCTACTTATCATGTGACTCCTAAACGAGATTGATTTTTATCATTTGAGAGACTCGATGGGGGTGTTATTATCATGGGAAATGATCAATCCTGTGGCATTTATAGGATAGGTATTGTGAGGATTCAGATGCACGATGGAGTAGTCCGTGAATTGAAGGAGGTGAGATTTATTCCTCAGTTGAAGAAGAATCTTATCTCAGTTGGAGCTTTGTAGGAGAAGGGATTCAAGGTGACTTTTGAGGATGCTGCAGCAAAGATTACTAAGAGATCTTTGATGGTGATGAAGGGAGTCCGCAATCAGAACTTGTACTACCTGAAGGGGCGAACCGTGATTGGCCAGGTTGCTTCAGCTATTTTAGAGGCGGACATTAACAGACTTTGGTATTACAGATTGGGGCACACAGGAGAGAAGTCACTGCAGGCGCTGTGAAAGCAGAGGCTATTAAAGGGAGCTAAGAGTGAAAAAGTTGAGTTCTGTGAGCACTGTGTTCTTGGTAAGAAGACGAATGTGAAGTTCGGGATAGCCATTCATAGGACGAGAGACATCCTGAATTATATGCACACAGATGTTTGGAATCCCACCAAGACTGCATCACTTGATGGTAGACATTGGTTCATCACGTTTGTTAATAACTATTCTAGACGTTGTTGGGTGTACACCATGGCGAAGAAGAGGTTGAAACTGCAGACTGGAAGAAAGATCAAGACGTTGCGATCCGATAATGGTAGTGAGTACACATCAGACCCCTTTCAGCAGCTATGTCGAGACGAGGACATAGAGAGATACTTCACAGTTAGTCATACACCGCAACAGAATGGGGGTGGCAGAGAGGTTAAATTGGTCTTTACTGGAGAAGATCCGATGTTTTTTGACGCATAGTAGTTTGGAGAAGATCTTTTGGGCGGAGGTACTTTTATATGCGAGTCACCTCATTAACAGGCTACCTTCATCTACGATTGAGGGGAAGACCCTTATGAAGATGTGGTCGGGAGAGCCAACACACGATTATGACCAGGTCAAGGTATTTGGGTACCCTGCATACTATTATGTGAAGACTGATAAGTTGAAACCTCGAGCTAGGAATGCCATATTTGTAGGATTCAAGCATTGTGTTAAGGGATACAAGCTATGGGATCCAGTTGATAGGAAGATTGTACTAAGAAGAGACGTCACGTTCGATAAGGCTTCTATCTTGAAGCTTCCCAGCTCTCATCAGGTGGAGAGCGACCCGACAGAGGAGATATCGTAGGTGGTGGAGATCGATGCAGCTCCATATTATCCAGATAATACAGTATCCATTAGAGTGTCGACTGAGGTGACATCAGGCGAGCACGGCGATGAGGAGGAGGATACGGGTACAGTTGTGCAGGATCAGGGACTGACGACTCAGGTTCAGGATTCTATTGCTGTTCGGAGACAGAGGAGAGACATACAACATGATATACCAATACAATAGTTGCATATGTACTTCCGGTGGAGAGTATCGATGAGTTAGTGTCTCCTACATTCAGAGAGGCAGAGCCGAGTTCGGAGGCTGATTCGTGGCAGGTGGCTATGTAGGAGGAAATGGACTCTCTTCACAAGAACGATACATGGGAGTTTATTGAGCTTCCAAATGGGCGGAAGGCAATTAGTTGCAAGTGGGTATACACGAAGAAGGAGGGTATTAAGGGCACTCCATTAAGGTTCAAGGCTAGGTTGGTTGTGAAGGGCTATGCACAGGAGGAAGGTATTGATTATAATGAGGTTTTCTCTTTGGTGGTGAAACATTCTTCGATTCAGATTTTGCTAGCTTTGGTGGCACAATATGGATTGAAGTTAGATCAGTTGGATGTGAAGACGACATTTCTTCATGGTCATCTTGATGTAGAAATATATATGACTTAGCTATTGGGATTCCGAGCTGTAGGTAAGGAAAACCTGGTTTGCAGGTTAAAGAAATCGTTATACGGTTTGAAGCAGTCTCCTTGACAGTGGTATAGGCGATTTGATGGTTTTATGTTCAGTCATTCGTACATTCGGAGTCAGTTTGATCCTTACGTGTATTTTCGCAAGTTAAAAGGAGGTGCGTACATCTATTTGTTGCTCTATGTTGATGACATGTTGGTTGCCTCCATTTCCAGGTCTTATATAGATGAGTTAAAGGCACAGCTTTCAAAGGAGTTTGAGATGAAGGATTTGGGTGAGGCTAAGCATATTTTGGGGATGGAGATCGACAGAGACAAAGAGAATGGTAGAATTTGTTTGACACATGTGGCTTATTTGAAGAAGGTTCTATAATGATTTCATATCAGCATGAATACGAAGCCAGTTAGTGTACCTTTGGGAGCCCATTTGAAGCTTTCAACTGACCTTTCACCGAAGACAGTTGAAGATAGAGAGTTGATGTCGAAGACTCCATATGCGAGCGCGATTGGGAGCTTGATGTACGTGATGGTATGTACGAGGCCAGATTTGTCACAGGTGGTGAGCATAGTTTCGAGATACATGTAGGATCTAGGAGTGGGTCATTGGGACACCGTGAGATGGATTTTGAGGTACATTCGAGGTACTCTCAATGTTGGTTTAGTTTTTTAGCGGAACACTAGAGGTGGGCAGTTGTGTATTGGTTATGTTGATTCGAATTATGCTGGAGATTTGGATAAGCACCGGTCTACGACGGAGTATGTATTCTAGTTGACCCGTGCGCCGATGTGTTGAAGATTCACCTTACAGTCTACGGTGGTTTGCCTACGATAAAGGCAGAGTATATGACGATTACGGAGGCTGTGAAGGAGGCTATTTGGCTTTGAGGGCTTTTGGAGCAACTTGGTATATTCTGCGGTCCGTCACTATTTATTGTGATAGCATGAGTGCTATCTATTTGGCGAAGAATCAGATTTTTCATGCGAGGACGAAGCATATTAACGTTCGTTATCACTTCGTTCGAGATGTTCTTGAAGATGACGATGTTGAGATCATTAAGGTCCACACGAAGGATAATCCGGCCGATATGCTCACTAAGGTGGTTCCGATCAACAAGTTTGATTATTGTAGAAGCTTGTTGCACATTCGTGATTGTTGAGGCCGTTGTCGCCATTTGGATGACCTACGGATGGTTTGATCCCTTGGGAGAGGGGGTACGTAGACAACCACATTGGTGTAGCCGAATTTGGTGAGATGACACATTGGTGCTCATATTGGTATCGGCTCAGTTTTGAGAATACTTCGCCAAGGTGAAGAATTGTTGGATAGCAGGTTCCTAATATGTTTTGGTAACAGGTTATTAGGATTCTTAATCTCTTTTGGTAACATGATTCTTAATCTGTTTTGGTAACAGGTTATTAGAATTCCTAATCTGTTTTGGTTTTAGGTTTTAGAATTCCTAATCTGTTTTGGTTTTAGGTTTTATATATATATGGAACGCCTTAGAAGAGATTAGGATCAAATCAAAAAGAAGAGAGTTGTAATCAGATATTAGAGAGACTTTTGAGCATTGTGAGAGAGAGATATTGTGAGCAAGTTGAGAGCTTTGGTTGAGGGTTAGTTTGTGAGTTTTATGAGATTATAACCATTTGTACTCTCCTTGATTTAGTGGAATCTCCTCATCCTCTCCCCGTGGACTTAGGCAAATTGTCGAACCACGTATATCTCTGTATTTGTGATTGATCTGTTGTATTTTAGTTTTGGATTGTACTCGTGTGAGGTTGGTTCTCTTCTCCCGTGATCACAGATGCGTTCGGTGTGCGAGCACGCATCCGCATAGGCGTGCGACAATTAGTATTACCAAAACAGATTAGGAACCTGCTATCCAACACTCACAATGTTTGGTGCTTTCATACAAAAGCCCTCGTTGTTGCCATCCACTTCCATCATTTACTGCAGCATTTTGGGACTTTTGGCTGCAGGAGTTACCATGTACATCTCCTCGATAGAGGGGTTTGTCGTCCTTGTTTGCTGCTCCTACATCTGAAATGAATTGAATGAGTGTTTCCGAGTAAACTTAGAGATGTAGACACTTCTGATCACCTAACTGTATGATCATCTTCCTTCAGGTGTATGATGATAACGCCGTATAAGCAACATGATCCATAATTCAGAGAGCAATTCTAGTTTTTCCATCGCACAACCTTCCGTCTTATGTCCTCCTGTTGTACTTCTTCTCTCACTTTCTCTTCATGTATATAATGCATTTATTTCTCTAGTTAATAAATTATCTGGGCATCTTGCTCAAGTTACTAAAAAGAGAAAAACAACAACTAAGTTTTTGTATTAAAGTAAAAGAACCAGTTAAACCATTCATAAAATTCAATAATTAAAGGACGTTGAAAGACACTTGACACGTAACATATCTCCATGTAGCACTAATCCCCTTTTCTTTTGTTCCACTATTTGTCCTGCAAGCCTCCATGCTGAATGTGAAGTTTGCTAAATGGAGAGGAGGATTGCTAGGCTGCAGCTGCAAAATGAGATATCCACAGATGACGAGGCCCGTGTGGGAGATAATTTCTAAAAAGCCTCACCAGTTTTTCTTTTGTTTTTTGTAAACCATGATGGTCTCTTCATACTGTTTTGTTTTGGATATGATCATGTGTGTAGCTCAAGACCTCAGTGATAGCTCACAGATTTGTTTAGTTTAAGTTTCTATTTTTTGATCAAACATCTATGACTTCTGCAGTGGGCGATGGCTATGGTCCTCTCCCTACTCTTAGGTATGCATCTTGCTTTCGGTTCAATGAAAAAAAAAAGCACTGAACCAGCATTTTGTTATACTAACTTTGGTAGTTGGAAAAAAAAAGCACTGAACCAGCATTTTGTTATACTAACTTTGGTAGTTGGAATGCCAAAGGTTGAATAAAATGAGTCAGGATCACGATCTACTGTCCCCATGAAAGATTTTGTAGGGATCCATTGTTTTCAGTTAGTTGAGTTAGTTTTCCATGCGGGCCAACGATGAGAGACTTGTTTGTACATTTGGTTGCATCTCATGTGGAGTGAGGTTACATGTCATGTGGGATTCAGATTGTTGCTAGCTGATGCATCGAATATAGTATCTTCATAAGTGCTGAATTTCTATGTCGAGATCAAATCGTAGATAACAGTTAGGAATACACAGGTTTAACGCGGTTCAGAACAAGTCCTACCTCATCGGACAACAATATATGATCATGTTTACTATTCAGTAAAACTGAGAACAGAGAAATAAGAGAGCAAGAGAATCACAATCAGAAGGGGTAATTGGAAATTGACAGATCTCCAAGATATTTGTAAATTCTCGTCTCACTTATATTTTTAAAATTCTGCAAATATAGAAGAAATCCTAATTCTATTAGAATTTGTTTGCATAATTTTCCTTCAAATTCGGCCTTCAAACAATTCAAACTCGAACACGATTCAACCCCACAGAATTTTTTGCGGAAAACTAGTAAAAAAAAATCTAGAGAAATATAGTTTGCAATGTATAGAAGAATAAATGCAAATCCCAAAAACCAACAAATCTCCCCCTAAAACTGAATTATATCAGATGTTGAATAACCTGACAGAGCTTGATGCTGACCATAGCCCCTACAGGAAAACTGAGATATAATGGAAATTCGGATGCTAAACTGAAACAAACTTTTAAACCTATAAGTTAAGTCAGAGGGATATGAGAAAGTTGATCATTAGTGCTAGTTCGAAGTATTACAGTTGTTACGTGAGTCACTGCTTGAAGCATTAAGCTTAAATCTTTGGGATATTAGTTATAACGGAGGGATATCCATGGAATCTAAGCTCCATGAGAACAAAGGAACATTAGTGCCATTCCTCCAACAAAGCATATCTCATTGTTCTATGACTAGCACGTGGAAGGGGGAAAGAAAAAGTCAACTAGAAGATTTGAGAAACATGAAATGAAACAAACATAGCAATTCAAAACTAGGACTTGTGCTCAATTTTTTTTTGTTGCTAATATACGACTAACTGTTGCCTCATTAACAGAGCACAGAATACGGTATTTCTTTACAAGATGTATCACAAGTAGTAGTATATCACCATCTCTTTGTACAGAAGGATAGATGCAAAAACAGACAATCCTTGTTCAACTATGGTGATGAACCGACGCTCTAATTTACAATAACAAGATGTTAATGTGCAGGTTTTTCCAACTTCTCCTATTGATGCTAAGGGCTCATTCCTGTTCTTGAGATTACTTGCTGCAAATACTTGAAAGATCTCTGATAACTCACAAACCCCATGAACCAAAACTCAAAATCGTCAACTGTCACAATCTGCACATACTTTTGGTTAGGCTTATCCACGTTCTCACTTGGACTAACTTTCTTTATCTTTCTCAATGGGATTGAAACTTTGTAAGGAACTCTGATCAAATCTCCTTCAGGGGAAGTGAATGTTAATGGTCTGTCGCTGCGAAATGCTATTTTCTCACTAGAAATGAAGAGCAATCCTGCAATAGGACCAGATGTTGTTGATAGATAACACTGACAGGCTTTCAGAAGCTTCTCTCTTTTATTGACAGAGAAATATCTTCTGAAGACTTTTTCTATTCCTCCTGCCTGAAGAATTCTTGCTCCCAAGCTCAACTTTCCTTTTACAGTTTCAGATATCTTTGGTGCCAAAGTGACTGGAAAAAAAAAAGATCGTAAGTTATCATTACCAATTGCCATAAGAAATGCTTCATATTTGTTACAATACTTTAAATTGATTACTCACCATGATCTCTAATTCCTCTTGCATAGCTATCAGCCTTCTTGCTGAACTTGTTCATCCAATTAATAACCGAGCCCCTTGTATCTGCAATATCAGAATGGTTTCTCTTAAGAACATATTTCATCAAATTGAATCAAACACATAATGAGTGACCATAATTACTTTGTCGATACAGAGAGCATTCAGCGGCATATCTCACATTAGTCACCGGAATTCCAATCACCTGTCCATGATTCTGGCTTTTCATCTTTGAGCTCAATCTCTGATGAATCTTCTACTGCTTATTACCTTGAGATTGGTTAGCTTGAGGAATGTTTCTTGGATAAGATATAAGGGAAGGAAGGGGGGTTTTATAAGGCGAAGCAACCTACTAGTTGGTACGCAATATTTAAAGTAGTAGTGGTTGGATGAATCAGCAGCACATGCTAAATGGATAATTGTCAACAATGTTGAGGAAATGGGCAAAACTTTCTTTTTTAAGCTCTAGTTTCCATAGGTTGAGGGGAATGTAAGTAAATGATACATAGCTTAAAGAAAACTGGCAGATTACTGAAATAATAAAGCATTGCATATCTTTTGGAAATACTTTAGCTAAGGGCAGACAGAAAACAAATCCTATAGAGGGTCAACTGCAGAAAATCATATGTAGAGACCGGGGATGAAGACACCTGGCCTAGCACGAATCCTTACGCACACATCACTATTAGCTACTAGTGCAGTCATTACCATCTATTTGTGCAGTTGCCATTTGGCGCAATACATTAACGGAGAATAATGACTAAATAATAATGCGTGTATGAAGATTCATGCCAGGCCAGGTGTTTTCATCTCCAATCTCTCTATATTCTCTTTCAGTTGAGGACCACACTACAGAGTTTCTTTGTCAATGGGGGACAAGCTGATGTGTGAATGAATCATCAGAAGAGTAGGTGGTGTGGAATTGGACCCATCTGATGTGTACAGTCTCTCACCATTAATTAGTCTCCTTTAACTTGGTCTTTTCAAATTTGTTATAATAGATTTGATTATGATCAGCATCAGCAGCACTGAGTCAGCTTTTTAGGACAAGCATTCTTTCTGACCTGGAGCTGAGACTTCATTGGCCTTGCCTTGCTGTAAAGAGTTAGAGAGACAATTTCAAAGTGTTCCAAATCAAAGAATCCACATATCTCAGCACAGTTGATGAAGGAAGGCAACCAGTAGACTCTTTAGTGTTGAAAACATAGGGACCTTCCTGTGAACAATAGCCTTTATCAACTACGAAAACAGCCAAATATTTCTAAAAGGATCTTGCTCCACAAAACCACTTAAAAGTTGGGGGACAAACTAAAATCCTTTGTTCTCAGTTAGTTCAGTTAGTTGTTCATGTGGACGAGCATCGAAAAAGCTTTGTAAGTTACGTTTGCATTTCTTGAGGGTTCAGATTGCAGTTGGCTGATGCACTAAGTGCCTAATATTTCTATAAACATCTATAAATGCCATTTGATATGTATTTTATCACTTTGAGTTATGGCAAATATGGATGGAAAACTGAAACAACTTTATGCACATCCTCAAGGAAAGACTTAATTTTAAATGTGGGAACTCAAGTTAATCGGACATGTGGACTTAAATCCTTTGCTATTGCTTTCTGTTTCAGGACTTTCTTCTTTCAAATAGAGCACATCAAAAAGTGGAGAGGTGGAGGGTTGTGGTTTTATTCAAAAAATATAAAATAAAAAACATACAGTGTTTCTATGAGTCACCACTTTAATTATTACGGTCATCTTTGGGATATTTATTTTTAAAGAGGGATATCCGTGGGATCTAACCTCCCTAGGAGCAAAGAAATTTGGATGCAACCAATTTTTTTTTAAAGTTTCAGTTGCTAGTGCTTTCCTTGAACCTGAGCAGACATATTAGTTGCCTTCCTCATGCAACGTGTATCATGTTATTTTATTGCCAGCATAAGTATAATAGAATAAACAAGATAATAGGCTTTTTTTTTTGGTTGTTTGTTTGGCATTTATCCATAAGTTATCAGAAACCGCTCATGTTTCGATGTTGAAAGTATTCTTACTCTCGGACGCCACAACACAATACCCTCTGTATAACTTCCTTGGCGTAGCATACTCTCTTTTATGTAGATGTTTAGAAGTTCAATTATATTAAACTAATAGGACCAATTTTAATAATTAAGCAAATAATTTTGAAAAGAACTGTCAGAGATGGTTAATATATTGCTGAACATGTTTAGCGACCTGTCTATAATTAAGTAAATAATTGTGAAGAGAACAGTCAAACATGCTTAGCGACCTGTCTATAATTATGAGGTTGTCATGTATCTCGTGATTCAGTAACCATATGTTGGGAATTTAACGCCTAAATCCCTAATGCAACAGAAACGCAGAATAGAGAGCAGTACACCAAGATTTACGAGGTTCGGCAACTGCCTACGTCCTCGGGAGCCACACAGTTAATTTCTTATTTAATCTAACAAGAAATTACAAGTTAAGAGCAAATCTCTAAACTGAGATTCCTCAAATTAAACACTGTAGCTACAGTGTTAATACCCACTTTAAAATCCCCTCTTCTCTTTTCTCTCTCTTCTTAAATCCTATTCTTAATCTCCCTCAACAGCCGTTGAAAAGCTGGAGATGAACAAGGAAATCGCTGCTGCGATTTTTGTGAGAACGCTGCTGCGTTTAAAAGGGGGAGAACGCTACTGCGTTAGGGGTTTACACCGCCGCCAGAGAACAAGTCGGGGAGAAGAGCAAAAACCCGCGCGGGTCAGGTCGTTCACACCGAGGGTCGCGTTCGTCGAGCGAGGGTCGCGTTCGCCCAAAGCCACCATCGCGTTCGCCAATCGAGCTCAACTGCTCGAGTTCGTCTGCGTCTTCCTGGAGCTCGTCGGAGCTCCTCCGCCGTTGGAGGTTGGTATCCATCTTCAACCTAACAATCTCCCACTTGGAGACCAAACCGACGCCGACGGGCTATCTCATCAAGCTCCTCTCCTGTGTGGCTCCGCCTTCATCATCTATGCATGAAGGCCAACTGAAGTTGCACACAACTTCAGTTTCTGAAAGGTCGCTGCCTTTGTCAACATATCCGCTGGATCCTTTCTTCCTTGGATATTCTGTTGAAATCCTTTGACAACTCGTCGGGCTCTGTATCTTCTGGAACCACCCTGTTCCTTCTTCACTCGATACACCCACTTGTTGTGACGTGCCTTTTTCCCCATGGGCAACTCAGCTAGTCCCCATGTCTGGTTGGAGATCAGAGATTTCTTCTCTTCTTTCGCAGCAAACTCCCACTTGCTCGCATCTCCACTCTGACAAGCTTCATCAAAGCTTTCAGACTCTCCTCCATTTGTCAGCAACATATAATTCATGTATCTGCTGTTAGGCACAGGAGGACGAGTACTTCTCCTTAACATCGGAGCTGGTGCGTCGGGCTTCTGCGCACCATTCTGTCCAACAGTCTCTTCTGGCTGAGGATCTTCTGCATTGGGTTCTTCCGAGAGGTTATCCGGAACATCATCTGCATCTACAAATGTTGACTCGCTCTCTGAGTCACCGTCATCTGTCTTGTGCATGTCCTTGTACATCACCTTCTCGTTGAATGTCACATCTCTGCACCTGATCACCTTCTTGTTTTCGTTGTCCCAAATGCGGTAGCCGAACTCGTCTTCACCATACCCGATGAATGTGCATTTCTTGGACTTGGGATCAGGCTCATTCCTGCCTTGATCACTTATATGCACATAAGCTACACAACCGAAAACTTTGAGATGTGAGAGGGTTACCTCCTTTCCGCACCATACCTCTTCTGGTATTCTGTGCTCCAATGGAACCGATGGACCTCGGTTGATCAAGTAAGCTGCTGTGTTGACTGCTTCTGCCCAGAACTGCTTCGGTAGACCTGACTGCATCCGAATGCTTCTGGCTCTCTCTGTCAACGTTCTATTCATGCGCTCAGCCACACCATTGTGCTGAGGCGTGCCGGGCACGGTCCTCTCCATTCTGATACCGTGCTCATAGCAGAACTTCTTGAATCTGGTGTCTTCATACTCACCACCATTGTCTGTTCTGAGTTTCTTTACCCTCAAACCGGTCTCATTCTCGACCATGGCTTTCCATCTTCTGAAAGCCTCAAACACTTCTGACTTTTTCTTCAGAAAGTAGACCCATACTTTCCGAGAGTGATCATCAATAAAAGTCACGAAGTAGTGTTTCCCACCAATCGACGCGGTGGTTGTTGGTCCCCAAACATCCGAGTGAACGAGCTCTAGCTTCTGCTTCCTGGGGGGTCTGCTACTTGCCTGAAAGCTAACTCTCTTCTGCTTTCCAAGTATGCATTCTTCACACACATCAATCTCTACTGATTGTAAACCTGGGAGTTTTCTCTTTGTGTGCATAACCTTCATCCCCTTTTCACTCATATGACCGAGTCTCTGGTGCCACAGCTTTGAAGTCTCATTGCCTGCTGAAACTGAGATCGAACAACGTGCACCTGCTGTCATATACAGGGTACCAGTCTTCCTACCTCTGGCAATCGTCATTGCGCCCTTCGAAATCCTCCAGTCATCTCCATGGAAAGTCATCGTGTAGCCTTCACTAGCCAGCTGGCTTACTGAGATTAAGTTCCTCTTCAGGTCGGGAATATACCTGACATCCTTCAGCTCCCATACTGACCCATTCAGCTTAATCTTCACTACACCTTTGCCAATAATGGCACATGCTTGATCGTCACCAAGATATACATTTCCAAGGTTTCCGGGGATATACTTCTCGAGGAATTCTTTCTGAGAAGTAGCATGGTATGATGCTCCCGAGTCCAACACCCAAGACTCCTTCTTGCTCTCCAAAGAGCATATCAGCGCATCATCTCCTCCTGAGGTGGAGGCAACATTCACATCTGCATTTGCCTCCCACTCCTCCCGTGCACTCCTGCACTGATTCTTGTAGTGCCCTGTTTTTCCGCACTTCCAATACTGAAGAGGTTGTAGCTTCACCCGACTCTCTCCGTCGGATCTCCTCACTGAGAACCAGATCACGAACGTCGTCAAACTTCAACCTTTTCTTTCCCGACGAGCTACTCACTGCCGTGACTGTAGCGTTCCAACTCTCTGGTAGGGAAGACAAAAGGATCAACGCTCGAACTTCCTCATCAAACTCAATATCAACTGAACTCAATTGGGTCGTGACTGTATTGAGTTCATTGAGATGATGTGCTACCGATGCACCTTCCGCCATTCGCAGATTGAACAACCGCCTCATCAAATGGACTTTATTTGAGGCTGATGGCTTCTCATACATATTGGAGAGTGCTGCCATAAGATCTGCCGTGGTCTTCTCCTTTGCAATGTTAAAAGCAACATTGCGGGTTAACGTCAAACGAATAACCCCGAGGGCTTTTCTGTCCAGAAGATTCCAATCTTCTTCCTTCATACCTTCAAATAAACTAATAGAGAACATGTATTTGTTGGGAATTTAACGCCTAAATCCACTAATGCAACAGAAACGCAGAATAGAGAACAGTACACCAAGATTTACGAGGTTCGGCAACTGCCTACGTCCTCGGGAGCCACACAGTTAATTTCTTATTTAATCTAACAAGAAATTACAAGTTAAGAGCAAATCTCTAAACTGAGATTCCTCAAATTAAACACTGTAGCTACAGTGTTAATACCCACTTTAAAATCCCCTCTTCTCTTTTCTCTCTCTTCTTAAATCCTATTCTTAATCTCCCTCAACAGCCGTTGAAAAGCTGGAGATGAACAAGGAAATCGCTGCTGCGATTTTTGTGAGAACGCTGCTGCGTTTAAAAGGGGGAGAACGCTACTGCGTTAGGGGTTTACACCGCCGCCAGAGAACAAGTCGGGGAGAAGAGCAAAAACTTTCTTCCTTGGATATTCTGTTGAAATCCTTTGACAACTCGTCGGGCTCTGTATCTTCTGGAACCACCCTGTTCCTTCTTCACTCGATACACCCACTTGTTGTGACGTGCCTTTTTCCCCATGGGCAACTCAGCTAGTCCCCATGTCTGGTTGGAGATCAGAGATTTCTTCTCTTCTTTCGCAGCAAACTCCCACTTGCTCGCATCTCCACTCTGACAAGCTTCATCAAAGCTTTCAGACTCTCCTCCATTTGTCAGCAACATATAATTCATGTATCTGCTGTTAGGCACAGGAGGACGAGTAGTTCTCCTCAATGTCGGAGCTGGTGCGTCGGGTTCCTGCGCACCGTTCTGTCCAACAGTCTCTTCTGGCTGAGGACCTTCTGCATTGGGTTCTTCCGAGAGGTTATCCGGAACATCATCTGCATCTATAAATGTTGACTCGCTCTCTGAATCACCGTCATCTGTCTTGTGCATGTCCTTGTACATCACCTTCTCGTTGAATGTCACATCTCTGCACCTGATCACCTTCTTGTTTTCGTTGTCCCAAATGCGGTAGCCGAACTCGTCTTCACCATACCCGATGAATGTGCATTTCTTAGACTTGGGATCAGGCTCATTCCTGCCTTGTTCACCGCCGCCAGAGAAAGAGGTCGGGGAGGAGGAGCAAAAACCCTAGGGGGTCGGGGGGGCTACTTTTATAGCCGGAAATTTGATGGGCTGGCGACAGCCTGTCGCCAGCTACTCGAAGACGCGGACGTCGGGGCGCCTGACGCGGGGGTCGGTGTCTTGAACGCGGGGGTCGGAGTTCGCCCGACGTGAGGGTCGCGTTCGCCATCTGCCACCATCGCGTTCGTCGATCGAGCTCAACTGCTCGAGCTTGCCTTCATCTTCGCCTGCGCTCACCTGGAGCTCGTCGGAGCTCCTCCGTCGTCGGAGGTTGGTATCCACCTCCAACCTAACACCATAGGCAGTTTTTCTTCCGTCTGCCGAAACTTAGTATTAGACTACGGACCTATGGCTGTTGGAGTGCACAAGTATCTAACAAATAAATCGATGAACTTGAATGCTGAAAGGAAAAATATTAGGAAGCATGTCTGGCAAAAAGTATTCCCATCAATCGAGGGACAAAATACCACGAGCGGGAAGCAGAAGCTTCCTATTATGAGTGATAACCCTGCATTTTTGGCAATTGACCTCGTCAAGTAGAACGCAAAGCAGTGAATTGACAGATGATTTCTCGTGCTGCTACCATAATTAAGGGCTATAGCAGCCCATTTTGTGCTCAAAACAGGAGAATTATATGAAAAGTAATGTGTGTTATGTGTCTCTGCTGTATCGGTAGCCGTTTTGTTCAACGACATGAGAGTTGTTGCTTATTGCGCGCAGATTCACCCACAAAGTATAGTATTTCATTAAATGAAGTTTACAAGAAATAGCACATCACGATCTCACTATACAAAAGGATAAACAAAAACAGGCTATCGTTGTTCAAGGATGGTGCTGAACTGACCCTCTAGTCTAACTAAAATTACAAGACTGTTTATGTGCAACTCTCTTAGAAATAAGTCTCATTGATGCTAGGAGCTCATCTCTGATTCATAGATTACTTGCTGCAAATACTTGAAAGATCTCTGGTAACTCACAAAACCCATGAACCAAAACTCATAACCATCAACTGTAACAATCTGAGCATACTTCTGATTCGGCTTATTCACATTCTCACTTGGACAAACTCTCTTTATCTTCCTCAATGGAATCGAAACTTTATAAGGAACTCTGATCAAATCTCCCTTAGGAGAAGTACATATTATAGGTCTGTCGCTTCGAAATGCAATTTTCTCGCTAGAAATGAAGAGCAATCCTGCAATAGGACCAGATGTTGTTGATAGATAACACTGACAGGCTTTCAGAAGCTTCTCTCCTTTATTGACAGAGAAATATCTTCTGAAGATTTTTTCAATTCCTCCTGCTTGAAGAATTCTTGCCCCCAAGCTCAATTTCCCTTTCACAGTTTCAGATAACGTCATCTCTCAGCTCAAACTGTTGAATATCCTACGTACTTCTTCCACTCTTTGAGATTGTTTAGCTTGAGCAATGTTTCGTGGCTAAAACAGAAGAGAAGGAAGAGGTTTTTATAAGGTGAAACAACCTACAAGTTGGTAGCAGCATCCAGAGCAGTAGTGGTTGAATGAATCAGCAACACGTGTGAAAGGATAAAACGCATGCTGTTGTCAACAATGCTAAGGAATTGTGGAAAGGGTAATTTTTTTTAGGGATCTCTTCTTCCATAGGTTGAGAGAATTATAAGTAGATGTTAAGGAAACAGGCAAAAGCATTCACATGTTATCTTTTGAAAATCATATAGGTTAATAGGGAATGAAGATGTTTGGCCTAGCATGAATGTGAGGAATCTCTATGAACACATCACTATCAGGCTATCAGCTATGAGTACGGTCGCTACCGTCTATTATAAAAATTGCTACCACTCACACCCAATCGATAGACAATAACGACTAAACTGATAGCCGATAGTGATGTGTATACGAATGATATTCGGCTAGGTGTTTCCATATCATATCTCCCTATATGAGTTTCGCTTGAGGGTCCCCCTATAGGGATTCTTTTTCAAGGGGAGACAAACTGATGCGTAGGTGAATCATCATCAGAAGAGTGCAGATGGTGTAGAATTGGACCCATCTGATGTGTAAAATCTCGATCTCACCATTGCTCTTCTTTCTTTCTCCTTTTCTATTCCTTGTCATTATTGATTTTATTAACATTTGCAACACCATCACTGAGTCAGCCCTTTTGGATAAGAGTCTTTCTGAGCTGGAACTGAGATCTCATTGGCCCTTGGCTTGTTGTAAAGAGAGGCAATTTCAAAGTGCACCAAACCAAAGATTCATATCTCAACGTATTTGGTGAAGGAAGTCAACAAGTAGACTTTTAATTGCTGAAAAAACACAGGGAGCTTACACATATCACACGTCCAAAGTCCTTTTCCTTCTGTTCCATTGCCCTTGCCCATAATTCAAACCAACATGCTGACAGTGAAGCTTGCTAAATGAAGCATTGAACCAGAATATCGTGCCATACTAACTTTGGTGGTTGCAATGCCAAAGTTGGAATAAATGAGTCATGTTCATGATCTTCTGTCCCCACGGAAGATTTTGTAGGGATCCATTGCTTTCAGTTAGTTCAGTTACTTAGGAGATATGTATGTTAGTTAGGTTGTATTTCATGTGGGTTCAGGTTGCAGTTAACTCATGCGCTAAAAGTGCTAATATTTATATAAACATGTACCAAATGCCATTTTATCTGTATTTATCCCCGTCTGGCAAAGGTTTAAGGGCGAAAAATTAAGTAGAAGTGTTAAACTTGTTTAACACGGAATAATCATTAACCCGTAGATTAGATTTATTTTAAAGGAAAATTATGTCAAGGCACCAATATGAAAAAGCCCATCTGACCAAATATGAAAGAACCCATGTGACCAGCCCCGCTAACCTTTGCCCATTGTACGTGGATCAGACCCAAAATACCCAATTAATGTATTTTGGCCCCTCCACATCAGCTGTATAGAGAAAATTTATTGTATTTCCTCATAAACCCTAAAATGCACTTCTTCTTCCCGATGAGGCAGCACCCCACAACTATACTACGAAGGAGGATGTATCATGTCCCATTAATGGCGATCTGATGGTGGAATTGAAGGGAAATTTCCCTTCATTTTTCTCTATCATGAGCAATAACTCTTTATATAATTTTTAGGGTTTTGCTCTTCAACTATGAATACTCATTTTGTTCTAAAATTCTCTCCATTACTCCTACCTTCCCTTCATTAATGGTTGAGAAGGCTATCATCTGCATGGTCTCCTCAGGTGATAAAACAATTTTCTTAAAGATTAACTCTTCAACCACCATGATGAAACTAAATTTTGATATGTCAGGGAGGTTAAAAATTCAATACGATTCTTTATCGTTGGCATACAAAGGTGAAACAAGCGGTAACTTCAGTTTTGCGATTGAGAACGAAGATGATTTGTCGTCTATGGTGGAGCATAGCTATAATATTGAGTGTAAAGAGATTCGTAAGAAAGCTTTTCAAAAAGCATAGGATTCTACTTTCCATAACAACCAGCATGTTCCACAAGATCTATAAGTTATCGGTTTTTTCAAAAGAATTTTATAATTTCTGTTTGACTATTGTGGAAAGATGAAAATTTAAACAAATACCAGCCAAGTGTGATTTTAGTTTGACAATTTTTGATATTAAGTTCAATAGGTATGATATTAAGTCTAATGTTGGAAGTTAAGTCTACTGGGTTGAATAATAAGTCTAAAGGTGGAATGTTAAGTGTAATGGATTATATGTTAAATCTAATTTATTGAATGTTAAGTATAATTTGTTATATGTTAAGTATAATACGTTGTATGTTAAGTTTAATTGGTGTGATGTTAATTCTAATTGGCTGCATGTTAATTGTTATGACAATAATTTTAAATCTAATATGTTGAATGTTAATTCAAATGTGAGGAATGTCAAGTCTAATCTATTGAATGTTAATTTTAATGAGAGGAATGTCAAGTCTAATAAGTTGAATGTTAAGTCTCCTTTGTTAATTCAAATTGGTTCGATGTTAAGTCTTGTTAGCTTTTATTATTTGTTTATTTTTTATTATTTGTTGTTGATTTTGTGTTATGATTATTTTCTAAATATTTGCATCATTTCCCCCACTTTGAACTCAAAAAATAAAGATTGTGGTCCGCTAACGTCAACACATGTTTTAGAAAGTATTCTCAATGATAATCCGTCTGAGACAATGTTATGATAATTGATGACATGATTAGCAATTCAGAGAGGATTCATGCTTGGTGATACACTGCTTTAATTAAAGAAGGACAACTATTTGATAATGCGAAAGAATTAAGATTAGCTTTGCTCTACTATTCAATGGCAAAAAAGTTTGAGTACGAATTTGAAAAGAATGATCCAAAGCGCATTTGAGGTTTTTGATGATTTAAGGAAACCAAAAGTTGCCCATGGATGTTATTTGCCTCTCCACCTAGAAATGGAACTAGACTTGCTATAAAAAAGTTCATGAACAATCATACTTGTGGATAGCATGGTAACAATGTCTGTCATTCAAGGGCCTCCCGAAAATTCATTGCGACCCAATTACAAACCATGTTGAAGGTCCGGCCAGACATACTCTCTATTGATTTGTAAAATGAGTTTCTAAGTCAGTATAGGCTAAGAGTCGAGTATAGTAAGATATGGTGGGGTAAAGAAAGAACATAAGAACAATTATAAGGTGATGCTTATGAGGCCTATGATCAATTACGATGGTAAAAGATAATATCTGCCCTATTGATGTGCAAAAAGCATTTAATTTTTTAAGTTTTCATAGTTAAGTATTTTCTGTGAATTCTTTTAAGTTGAAGTATAAGCCAATTCATGTTGAAGTATAAGTAATTTCATGATAAATTATGAGTTATTTCTAGTAATTTCATGTATGGAGTATAAGTAATTATATGCTAAGTCTAATTATTTCATGTTAAATGCAAAACATTTGATGTGAATATTAAACAATACCATATTAAGTCTAAACTATATCCCGTTAAGTTAAAGTCCTTTCCTGTTAATTGTGATGTAACTACTGGTAAGTCTAATTTGGTTCTTGTTAACTTTAACATTTATTTTTAAATTTCCCAAATTACAGGTATGTAGGTAAGGTTAAGGAGACAAATTCAGGTAGCTATATTCATGTTGAACAAAGTGACGGAAGGTTTACAAGACTATTCATTTGCTATGCCGCTTGCATAAATAATTTTTTACGTGGATGTCGACCACTTATATTTCTGGATGGGACCTTTCTGAATGATCGTTTCAAAGGTATACTCCTCAGCGCTGTAGCATACGATGAAAATCAATGGATATTTTCACTATCCTATTGCATATGCGATCAGGAAAATAACATTAACTAGAAGTGGTTCTTACAAGGTTTGTGGTCTATATCCTATGAGAGATCTGATCCATACCATCCTCCACATCAGCTAGTTATAATATCAGACACGGATAAGGGAGTTAGAGAAGCTGTTAGAATTTTTTTTCCAGATGCTTTACATTCCAGATGTATTCTACATCTCGTAGAGAATTTTAGATTAAAATTGAAGGATTTGGGACTAAAGTTAAAGGATACTCATGTTTTGGTGAATCTATTACAATCAGCTTGTTACAAGTATACTAAAACAGAATAGAATGATTATATGGATGACATTAAATTAATAAACAAAAGGGCATATAATATTGTCATTAACTACGCCCCAGAAAACCGGGCAAACAAATTCTTTCATGGAATTAGTTAAAGCATGAGACATCTCATGTAAAGTATAAGTAATTTTCTTGTTAATCATAGGTTATTTACTATGAAGTATAATAGAATTAATGCTGAAGTATAAATAACTTAATATTAAATTATAAGTTATTTCAAGTAAATTCATGTTGAAGTATAAGAAATTTCATGGTAAGTATAATTAATATCATGTTACGTGTAAATCGTTTGCTGTGAAAATCAATTCATGTCATCATAAGTCTAGTTCACTTCCTGTTATGTTTAAACCATTTCCTATTAATTCCAAATCATACTTGTTAACTCTATGTCACTTCTTGTCAATTGTAAGTAAATAACTATCAAATCTATTTCACTTCTTGCTAGTTGTAATGAATTTCCTATTCTGTTTCAAATATGGACACGTTACCTCTAATATTGCTAAGTCCTTTAACAAGTGGATACGTGAGGCTAGATTGCTACGGATACTACAAACGGTAGAGCACATACGTAGAAAATTATAGTTCGCATGAATGATCGACGAGACATGGCTAAAAATTAGAATGAATTTCTTCGTCCTAAAGCTGAGCTTGTCCCTAAAGAGAACATGAAAAATGGGCACCCATTGGATATGTGTTAATATCTTAAAGGATTATTTGAAGTACAATCTCATAAAACTTGTCAAGTAGATTTGGAGCATAACACATGCATGTGACTTGCGTGGGATGTAACTCGTATTCCTTGTAAATGTGCATGCGCAGCTAT